AGTGGAGGTCGCCAACCACAGCGCGAGGGCGTCGAGGGTCTCGCCCAGATTCGACGAGTCGTAAATGGTTGTGGCAGTGTCATTGCTAGTGGCCAGATTGTCATGGATGGTGGTGTAATTGGAAATTAAAATTTTGCTCTTTAAGAATTTCAATGGTGACTTTTTTTTTTATATAGCTTTTTCCCTAAATGTAAAATTTTATTTGCAGAAATAATTAAAGGAGGAAAAAATTAAATCAGGATGAAGACGATGAGGGTGATTGGTGTTTTCACAACCCATCATGCAAGAAGATGAGGAGAAAACATGTGCAAATTGCGAAGTTCAAGAAGGAAATAGGATTTACTGGTATAGATAGTAAGTATCTCTACACTATAATTTAAGACTTAAGAGATGGGCAGTGATTCCTGTTTTCAAAGCTTCTTCATGAAATTTAATCTTACTCTTTTAGAAGAAACTACCCTCTCTCTCTCTCGCCTGTCTCAATCACTCGATGATTTTCCATCAATCTTTGCGAAGCCACTAACTGAAATTCCTTCTTCTACACTTCGTAACAACAACGGCGACAGTAACAAAAATATAGAAGATCGAGACAAATTGATTAGTTATGAACTCTAATTTCTTGCTCAGTGGCTCCTAAATTAGGGGATTTTTTTTAATGGCGCAAGAAAAAAATTTAAGGTGCTTATGTTATAATGAATAAAATTAGGATTTTTAGTAATTTTATGTAGTATTTAAAAAAAAATTGAAAAAAGAAGGGAGTGGCGATGGCCGGGGAACGAATTCCCAAGGAATAAGGAGAAAAAGCACCTCAAAGCAGGCGAGGAAGAACAGCGCCACGCGGTCGGCTTCCTAACTTGCATGCGCTTTTCGTGGAACCCTCGCACCCAAATGTCACTTTGAATTCCCCGCAGGTTGTCTTTTTCTTTCCCCTTTTCCCTAAATTTATTTTATTTTATTTTCCCAATCCTTACGAGGAATTAATTTAATAAATGTCATTTATAATAATAATTATTATTATTATTATTCGTTCCCCAAATTAATCTGGGTTTTTGTCGCTACTCTACAATTTTTAGGACGGGACCGAAGATCATCCGATTTTTGTCGAGAAAGAACACAAAGCTTCTCGTGGTGGGGAGGGGGTTGGTTCACAGGAACGACGACGTCGTTTCGCGTTCCGGAACTTAAAGTCCAACCTTCTCGGATAAGCTGGACCCGGCCGCCGCCAACACCACCCGCCCACCAGCGTTTTGGGAATTAATAATAAAAAAAGGGGAAAATTTACGGAAATCAAAAACAGTAAATCTCATAATTACAAGATAAGCTCGTGCCGAACTTCGAAGTTAGGTCCGAAGACGACGTTTCACTTTTTTTTTTTAACTCAATCACTCCAATTTCCACCCCCCCACTTCACAATTAACTCCCTTTTTTTTTTCTCCCATAAATCTCATTAAAGCGTCGAATCATTTAAATCAGTCGTTTTTAATCTAAGGGCACGAGCGCAGAGCAGAGATGCGACCCATCTCGATTAAGCCAATGCCCTTATCAAGAGCGGTCGGAGAACCGGACCGGATATCAGCACGCGAGTTTCCTGATTTTCTCGAGCCAGGCCGGCCAGACCACGTCGACCTCCGGGTAGAGTTAAGGAAATTTGACGGAACCGGTGAAGGTATTTTTTGTTTTTGTTTTTAAAAAGGGAAAAGCAGAATGATTCAATACAAATTATTTAATAATAATAATAATAATAATAATAATAATAATAATAATAATAATAAGGATTAATATCAAGAAAAACCCCAAACTGGTACACTTGTGACAATTTTACTCCGAACTAATTTTTTGACCACCAAAAACCACAAACTGGTACATTTGTGACAAATTTACCAAAAACTATTTTTTTGACCACCAAAAACCCCAAACTGGTACACCCGTGACAATTTTACCTCAAACTAAAATTTTTTTGACTGCTAAAAACCCCAAACTGATACATTTGTGACAAATTTACCCTTCGTTAGTGTCCGTCAAATTGGATTAATATCAAGAAATACCACAAATTAGTAAACTTATGACAGACAGAGATGTAAAACCCTAAACTGGTACACCCGTCAACTACCACGTGCCATCAAACTCATCAATTTAACAGTAAAATTTAACGGAAACTAACGGATGGTAAATTTGTCACAGGTGTACCGGTTTGGGATTTTTGGCGGGTCAAAAAATTAGTTCGGGGTAAAATTGTCACAGGTGTACCAGCGTGAGGTTTTTGGTTGTCAAAAAAATAGTTCGAGATTAAATTATCACAGGCGTATCAGTCCGAAGGTTTTTTTATGATAAAAAAAATAGTCCGAGATAAATTTATTTCAGATATACTAGTTTGAGGTTTTCGTGGTATTAATCTTAAATAATAATTAATAAATAAGTAAGAACCCATGAGATGGAACATTGGAAAAACAAGAGAGAGAAGCAAGGGGGGGGACTATTCAAAGGATGCTGACCCCGATAAATGTTGTTGTTGTGGTGAGAGACTCCAAAACCGTTGGCGAGGGAGGGGAGAGGAGGGTGGCCATGATGTGCGCCCACAGTCCCGCAAAAGCAAAACCAGCTCCTGGTTTCTCTCTCTCCCCGAACTTTGCTTTGATAGACTTCCCGAAAACCGGGAGCTCCTCCTCCTCCTCCCCCACCATTTCTTTATATCCTTTAAAAAATAAAAAGTAAAATATAAAATAAGCTTTCTTCTTTTCTTTTTTTTGGGATTATTCTGTTCAGCGTAACAGATGTGGCGATTCGACCGCACCCTGACACCCCCCCACCCCCCACAACGTGCTCGCCACGCGCTTCCCCCCCCCCCCCCCCCTCTCCTCTCTATGGACCGACATTTTACCGAGAGAAGATAATATGAATAATTCGTCAACTTTTAATTTGTTCAATGGAATTTTTGAACTTTTGATGTATGTTTCCATATGTTGAACTTGAATTAATAAAAAGATGTCATTGGACATTTTCATAGAGGAAGAATGACGCGAATGGTCTCCGACTCTGGCACAACGTGTAATGTGGTCCCCGCGCTTTTAAATTTGTTCGATGTAATTCCTAGAATTTTGATATATGTTCAATCTGGTCATTTTGCTGTATGAATATGTTCAATATCATCCTTACCAAAAGCTTAGGGATCACAGTGAACAAAAATTGGGCGAAAGTTCAGGTATCGCATTGCATATCGGGTCAAAGTTCATGGACTATTTGTGTCATTTTCCATTTCATATAATATAGGGACTATATATTGAATATTTATCAAAAGTTCATGGGTCGCTTTATGAACGACATTGAACTAAAGTTTAGAAATTATATCGAATAAAGGGGCGACACTGTATATTGAGTTCAAGGTTCACGGACCATTCGTGTTATTATATCTTGGGAAAATTCCAATTAAGGACCCCAAGTGGGGTCCTTTTCTCAAAAGAGGACCCAAAGTGAACATGGTGTCAAATAAGGACCTAAAGTGCCCAATCAGTCTCAAATAGGGGCCCGAAGTATTCAATTTGTCTAAGGTAAGGGCCTGGGTTCGCCGGCCGGTCAAATCTCGCCGGCCGGCGAGCACAGTTACTGTTCTGGCAATCGGAACAGTACATTTCACCTCTGTTTTTTTTTCTTTTTCTTTTTTTTTTCTCTTCCCTCCGCCGGCCATAGCCGGGGCCGGTGGAGGTCGCCGGCCTCAAGCGGAGGCTGCCCTCGCCCGACGCCGGCGAGGGTCGCCCTCGACTGGGCTGGGCGGGCGAGGGCGACCCTCGCCGGCGGAGGACAAGGGCTCGAGCTCGCTGGCCATCTGGGCGAGCTCGAGCTCGCCAGCCATCTGGGCGCCGGCGAGCTCTGCCCAGATTTGGGCGAGCTCGAGCTCGCCAGCCATCTGGGCGCCGGCGAGCTCTGCCCAGATTTGGGCGAGCTCGAGCTCATGCCGGCCCTCGCCATGGCTGTGCGGGCCGGCGAGGGTGGAGCTCGCCCAGATCTAAGCAGAGCCCGCCGGCCGAGCTCGCCCAGATGGCCTGCGAGCTCGAGCTCCTGCTGGTCTCAACGAGCTCGAGCTCGCCGGCCATGGCACCCTCCCCCTCCCCTTCCCGCTCCAAGTTCTCCCCACGGAAGCCCTCGCCGGAGTCCCCGGGCTCCGCCGCCAGCCCCGCCCCGCCCGATACGGCCCTCGACAACCCGGATCTCGGGCCCTTCCTCCTCAAGCTCGCGCGCGACACCATCGCCTCCGGCGACGGCCCCGCCAAGGCCCTCAACTACGCGATCCGGGCGAGACCGGCCTCCTCGAGCTCGCCCAGATCTGGGCGGAGCTCGCCATGGCCGGCGAGCTCGAGCTCGCCCAGATTTGGGCGGAGCTCGCCGGCAGCTCGTCCAGATGGCCGGCGGGCTCGAGCTCTCGCCGGCCTCAGCTCTGGCCAGGTCGCCGGTTGCCGGACCGGCAACCAGGGAAGAAGAAAAGAAAAGAAAAGAAAATTGGACAAAATTGCCCCTATTCCGGCAAGACGGAAATGTCACGGCCGGCCCGGAGAACATTTGATGCCCGGCGAGCTCAGTCCTTATTTGATACTGGTTTGGCACTTTAGGTCCTTAATTGATACCTTGTCTATTTGAGGTCCTCTTTTAAAAAAAGGCACCCACTTTGGGTCCTTATTTGATAATTTCCCTTATATCTTTCTACGTAGTTTCGACCGCGGTAACACCACACTTTATCCAAAGGAGGCTCCTTCCACGCGCGAGTGGGCCGTAAGGGGAGAATGTACGATCACTTGGCTATTATTATAATGTATGATAAAGGTGGGTGTTACTTCCCAATCCCAAAAAATATAAAAAAAATAAAAAAAATCTCTCCTTTTTTGTAAAATTTTTTAATTACGGGAAACGTGGAAAAACAGCTTGCTGCTCTCTCTCAAGAGTCCCCTGTATAATCCAACCCAGCCAGCACCCAGGAATACCAGTACCTAGTCTTTCCTCCTCCTTCCCTTCCTTCCTTCCTTCATTCCCTCGTTTATAAACCCCCCACCCCCGAATCTCTCTCTCTCCCAAATCCCTCATCCCTCCCACCATCTCAAACCCTCTCCCAAACTCTCTCTCTCTCTCTCTCTCTCTCTAACTCTAGAAGAGACGCAAGACCCACCTCGTCTTCCTTCCTTCTTCTCGTTCTTGTTCTTGAATTCCTCTCTGTTTTGACGCTTGCGATCCAAGGAAAACGAGGGCCGAAGAATGCGGATGAGCTGTAACGGATGCCGGGTGCTCCGCAAGGGCTGCAGCGACAACTGCAGCATCCGCCCCTGCCTCCAGTGGATCAAGAGCCCCGAGTCCCAAGCCCACGCCACCGTCTTCCTCGCCAAGTTCTACGGCCGCGCCGGCCTCCTCAACCTCCTCAACGCCGGCCCCGACCACCTCCGCCCTGGTCCGTCCTCCCATCCCATCCCCGTCCCCGCGCATGCATTTCCCGTTTACTTGTTTTTCTTTGGGCGAAGCGAAAGAGAGTGTTCCTTCTTGGCTGACGCTTCTTGGGTCGGTTCTTGTTTCTTCTGTATCTGCAGCGATCTTTAGGTCCTTGCTCTACGAAGCTTGCGGTCGGATCGTGAACCCGATATACGGCTCCGTCGGCCTACTCTGGTCCGGGAGCTGGCAGCTCTGCCAGGCCGCCGTGGAGGCCGTCCTCAAGGGCCTGCCCATCACCCCGATCGCCTCCGAGGCGGCGGCCAACAGCCACGCCCCGCCCTCCAAGGTCTACGACATCCGCCACGTCTCCAAGGAGGAGACCGCCGCCGCCGCCGCCGCCTCCGCCTCCGCCGCCGCCGATCTCCGCCGCGTCCGGGCTCGCTGCCGGTTCAAGCGATCCGGGGCCAAGGCCAGGTCGTCGTCGTCGTCGGCGGGGGATGCGGCGGCTTCGGGCATGGAGTCGGCGCCGGCTCATGACGAGCCGGCGGCGAAGTGCTCCGACGACGAGCCCAACCGGTCGACTAGCCACGAGTCGTCGCTGAGCCACCAGTCCGAGGTGGTCGCGGCGGCGGCCAACGCGGAGGGCGACAGCAAGGAGACGCTCAGCGCGGTGTCCGATGACACGACGGCCGGGCCGCCGCTGCTGTTCCGAGCCGCCGAGCCGGAGCCGGACGACCGCCGGCTGGGCGGCGGGGGCGAGGAGATCGGGCTGGAGCTGACCCTGGGGTTCGAGCCGGTGGCACGTGCCAACCACGTGGTCCCGGTGAAGAAGCGCAGGTTCGAGGATCGCGGGTCGGGTTGCAAGATGGACTTGGGCCTGGAGTGCTCGGCCCATTTACGCGGAAGCCCAAAATCGACCCTTTGAATGCATGCAAACAGCGGCGTGTAGTTTTGACTCTGGGCGGCTCTGTTAATTTAGCCGAGTTTCCTTTTTTTTTTTATATATATATATATATATAAAAAAAACCCTTAATTTTGTCTTTGTTTTTTTTTTTGTCCCTTTTTTTTTCCTTTGTTTTTTGGGGGGGCGGAATTTTAGCTGTTGAGAAGTGAGGTGTACATAAAGCAAAATCTCTTTAGATGAGTAAAAAGAAGATGGGGACATACCTTTTGCCATGGTCGTGCAAAATTGCAAACCAGATAAATTATAACGTGGGGGCGAATATGGAGAATCGGACCTGAGTCTTGCGCTCATGCACTTAAAACCCTAACACGAGCGAATGCATCTTTTCTCGATCGTGCCCGATACCCAGTGGAGTGGATTCGAGCCATTGACATATATGTTCTAATGTTATTCCGAGGAGATCATTTGTGTTCTCGAATGAATTGGTCATTTTCCCTTCTATAATAAAACCTAGGTTAGGAACCGAATGTTTGTTTCCTAGAGAATGTTTACACGATGCATATATAACTAGACGTTTGCATTGCGCGGGGATTTTATATTCATCGGGAAAATTCGGAAAGAAAAAAAATGATAATAAAGAGTCCATAAAATTAAAGTAAATGAAAAAAATTAAGATATTTGTATATAGGTCGTCTTTCCAATAAGTAAATATGTAAAAGGAAGAATCTATTTTTTTTACGGCCAAAACACAACAATAAGAGTGTGCTCCTCAATAGAAGGAACTTGAGGAGCCGTAATTGCCCAAACTATGCTAGTATGCAATTTTTGTCCTCGTTCCATATCAGGCAACTAAAATTTGACAATATTATTAAAAAATGAAGAAAATGAAATTTCGAATCTCTATGGTACCTCTGTAAATGTGTCTAAATCGACTTGAAAAAGATTTGAGACTTCATTCGTACTACTTCACTCGCCAATGCTTAAATAATTGTGACGAAATCACTAGAGCGCATTGATCGAAACAGATATGATGTATTTAGCGATGGCTAAATCGACTTGAAAAGGATTAAGATTTCATTCATACGACTCTGCCGATCAATGCTTAAATAATTGAAACAAAATCGCCAAGGCGCATTGATCGAAACAGATTGATGTATTTAGCGATTGTAGGGGAATATAATAAGGGTAACTACCAATCCGAAAAAAAAAATAGTGGAAAAAAAATCGGATTTTGGCTCATTCGAAGGTGAAGTCAAAATAATATTGCAAGAGAAATAAACGATGGTGTAAAACAAAATAAAAAGGAATATCGAAGACCTTGGACATTGAAGAACAAAGCCCAGCAGGGTTAGCTGGTGAGATCGATACGCTCATTCACCTTTTTGGGCTGGCAAATGTTGAAGATTGGAAGAACAAAGTGGACTAAAAGGAGGGCCAAGGCCCACTAACAATTCAAGAACAACCTCTGTCGCTACAAAAAATGGAGCAGCCTTTTTTCTTTCCTTTTTTCTGGGTAAAATAGCTTTGATCCTCTTCTTCCAAGAGATGCTCCGCCATTGGATAGTGTTTACACCAAAAAATGATCGGGTTGTCGACATGAGTAAGCACATGCTCGAGCATGGGCAGTCGCATGAGTAACACATGAGTATTACCACACATGTATTGTCGATGACTATAGAGGTTGATATTTTGTTGATCGGTATCGATACACATGTTATCGATGCATGATGACGAGCTACCAATAACAATCGACATAGATATTGGCAATGGGCGAGAATGCCATGTGAACTCTTTGAACCCACGAGAAGTATAGGGCTATAGGTAATAGGTAATGGACGTGCATGTTTGGAGGGAACAATTACCATTTAAAAATTAAGATTATGGGATGTGTCATGATTTAGAGGACAGGATCATGGAGCGGCAAGAAGATCGTGCGACAGTTACCGATGAATAATAGTTACTAGCCATCATTCAAGGACAATTGCATGGGATGGTTATATATGGGATCGTGGAATAGCTAGTGCAAAGAAATTATCGTTTAGAAATGGCGTTAGGCACTGGATTTTGAAGCTCAGAGACGCAGCAGAAACCGCTGGAAACCACCTGAAAGCAGATCATTATAAATACCACCGGTCTACTATAAGACCACCCTTACAAATCAAACAAATTCGCTGTCTTTCGGTACTTTAGTTTCCTGCACTGCACTTTGTTTTCATAGCCGTTGCTTTCCGATTCGTGTCGTCGATTAAAATTCCAGCGTGCAATCACTATTCTGGGTTCTGTGTCGTTGATTAAAATTCCGGGCAATGTTGTTGATTAAATTTCAACATGATTTGTTTACATTTGGTTACTTTCCTGAGTCTGTATTTTTCGAGTTGTGTTGTCGATTGAATTTCGGCACTTTGCGCCGATACAGTACCGTTCTGTAAAGTTTCGATTCCCTCATTTGCCCATTCACAACAAGTTGGCCGATTTTCAAATTCTAATGCTTACTCCACTCAAGCCGTAAGCTGACACATGCAGTTATTACATGGATCGGGTCTTCTGGTTCTCCTGCATTCGATCTATCACAATATTTGGATTAAGTAGTAAATTTAAGAGATACTGACATACGTGGTTCTTGAACTTTGTCTCAATATATAATGTGGGCCATGAACTTTAAATTTGTTCAATGTGGTCCCCCTAAACTTTTGGTTAATGTTTAAACTAGTTCCTAGATTGTATGAAAATATCAAATGTTATACTTCAATTAATTTAAGTTCATGAACAACATTAAACATTTTTATATAGTTCAGGATTAGTTTGAACATGTTACCAAAATTTTAGGGACCACATTAAACAAATTAAAAGTTCATTAATGACATTGCATATTGGGTTAAAGTTCTTGGACCACATCGAATATATTAAAAGTTTAGGGATCACATTGCATATTATGTCAAAGTTCAATGATCATTTGTGTCATTTTCCCTAGAATTAACGCACGATTCACTTAATTTAAAAAGACCAATTTATATAGGGATAATGACACAAACAGTCCCTGAACTTTGGCTCAATGTGCAATTTGATCAATAAACTATTAATTTGTTCAATATAGTCCCTGAACTTTAACCCAATGTTCAATGTGGTCCCTGAACTTTTGGTACATGTTCAATTTAGTTCTTGAACTATATGAAAATATACAATATAGCCCCTAAACTTGAATTAATTGAAGGACTACATTGAACATTTTTATAAAGTTCAAGGACTATATTGAACATGTACCAAAAGTTCAGGGACCACATTGAACAAATTAAAAGTTCATGGACGACACTACACATTGAGCCAAAATTCATGGACCACATCGAACAGATTAAAAGTTTAGATATCACATTGCACATCATGTCAAAATTTAATGATCATTTGTGTCATTTTCCCTAGAACTAACGTGTGATTCACTTAATTTGAAAAGACCCAATTTATATATAAATCCAATTCACGCAAACCAAACGTGGAGCGAGAAATGTACCCTCGCATGCGGTATCTCGATTCTCTTGCTTTCCCTAGAAAGTCAATACGTGTTGGTCGATGCGTCGGCTGGAAAGTCGATTAGGACAACTTAGGAGTATCGTGCTTCACCACGCAACGATTTGTATGCACTCACCACCAAATTGACAACTGATCGTGGGACTCTCTTCTGGGTCTTAGTCTAATCTGTCCCCATCTCGCGGAAATCACTGAGGAACAAAGGGCTTTCGTTTTACTGAAGAAAGTGCCAAGCGTCCGTTGACTTGCTGTTCCTTTGTTTTTTGTTTGGTTAAAAACTTTGCGTTTCCTTTGTTGACCGCGCTGCTCCATAGGGTGATCGGTCCAAAGCGCGTGCTGACCCGAAAAATAAAACACATAAAAGAATGTGTTGACCACCCCCCACCAATGTTGCTTTTTTCTAGGTGGAGCAAAGAAGAATAAAAGAAATGACATTATGACCACGGACTAACCAGTGTCTCGGAGAAAATATTAGGCGGTCCGGGACCACCACATTAGCGTGATAAATTCCACTTCGAACGAGTTGGCCTAATATCTTCTCAATGTCTCGACTCCGATCCACTTTTAAGTGACGGGGAGTCTGAACTCTCTAGAACCCATTACATAAAAGTCGGAAAAATTACAAAAAAAAAGAAGTCATAAACCTATTATACGGATACCAATTTAGTCCTAGATCTTTCAATTTGGCCAAATTTAGTCCTAAGTCCTTTTGACGATTTGCTGTTGTAGTTATTCGGGCCAATTTTGACCGGCAATAATGACATGGACGCCCACGGTACACGGCCGGCGCTGATGTGGACAATTTTTTGCAATTTTTTTTTTCATTTTTCTGAAGTTTTTTCTTTTTTTCTTTTATTTTCTCTCTTCCTCTTCCATCTCACAGCGATCGGCGAAAGAAAAAGGCAAGAAAAAATAAAAAAAAATCTATAAGAATTCAAAAAATAAAAAATGCATAAACTTATCCACATCAGCGCCGGCCTTGTCACGTGGGACGATCAGTGTCTACATCACTAAAATTGATCTGAATGACTATATTGATAAATCGTGAAAATATTTAGGACTAAATTGGCACAATTATAGGGTTTAAAACTAAATAGACCGCCATACAATATGTTTATGACTTTTTTGGTAATTATCCCCACAAAAGTCCATATCTCCAATAGGAACTTCACCAAAAATCTGCATTCCTTGCTGTTGGTGGTGTCGACCTAGCATTGTCAAAGTGTCCGCACATCTTCTGGAATGCTTCATCTGAACTTGCTGCAATCCTTCTAACGATGCCCTTTATTCAAGAATAATTAGTATGAAGTCTCGATTGAATCTTTTGCATGACTGCATTTTATTCAGCAATTTATCTGTCATTCGATTTCGAAGTTTCTGATGTTGCTCTCAAGAGCCAGTTTTAATCCTATCTGCATTTACAAGAGCAAAATCACCAACAATCTCGATGAGGAACATCACTCATCGTACCGCTCTCGATGAAACAGCCGAGGTACGAAAAAGAAGCAAATCTAACCAAAACAATTATTCTCACGTGGATTCAAGGGCTTCAAACATATTTGAACCCCAAACTTAGGTTTT